GACTTCGTCGGCTAATTTTGAATTTATTTTAATATTATTATTTTTAACAGACCGGGACAGGAAATCCGTTAAAAATTCATAACTTCTTCATCCGACGTCCGTTTTCGTCTGTCTTTTTACCGTTGTACTACTATTGACGAGATCTTCGATTCTCGTTTAGGTTGTGTCGGCTAAAACTCACTCGATCTAAATTTCAAGTTTTTTTAGCTGTCTACTGCTAAGCTGAAACTTAGAAAAATCATAACTTCCTCATACGAAGTCAGATTTGGGCGTTCTTTTATGCATACTCTTGGTTTAACGAACACTACGACTTTCATTTAGATCACTAAGGCTAAAAAGTAGTTTATCAAAAAGTCAATTTTTACGTCATTCGGCACCGTGCCGGTTTTGTCGCGGAACTTCGACATGTCATAACTTATTCGTTATAACTCGGATTTCGCTATTCTTTATATATCCGGAATCCTTGTCACGACCACTACAACTTTCTTAATAGATATCAGCTTTATCTAATATTTATTTTTTATGCTTATTTTTATTATTAATTAATTAAATCCTAATAATTAAGCATAAAACACATAATTCACATAATAATCACATAATTCCTCTTTATTTCTTCAAAATGAGTTACAAAGGTTGACCTAGACTATTACATTATCATTAATGCTTATCTTAGAAACACTGGCGTTACAACCTGCCTCCACCCTATAAAAGGGAGGGATGCGAGACTTTCCGAGTAATTTTGGGATTTTGCCATTTTTCACCCCTAAACTCATATTTTAACTATTTCGACTTCCCTCGAAGCCCCGAGATCATTTCCAACACCCGAAATACGTTCCGAAGTGCGCCCGAAGACCCGAAAAAAATTTATCTTTTCGGTTTTGAAGCCCCACCCTCGCAGGGCCCGGTTTTTCATTAAAGCTCCCGGTTTCATCGAAAACGATCGTTTTAGGAAACGAAGTGTTGCCCGATTATGTTAAATCAAGTGAGTGTATAGTCACTTTCATCTTACACATAGATATGAAGTATTTTATATAAAATATGTGCTATGTGATTATATATTGTTTATTTATTTGAGATGGATGATAAATGAATGATTTATACAGATTTTTAAATAAATTAAACTGTATATGTATTTTTATCTACAAATATGTTGGGTAAAACATGGGTAGATAGTTGAGGTGTGATGAAATAAAATGATGAGAGACCTCGATGTTATTATGATCCGGTCATTTAGCGGAGTATGGATGACGACCACAGACTTTTCTAGATAGTCATGTGGAACGCTGGCAGGCTCGCAACCTGTAGGTGTTAATAAGCTTGAGTGTTCATTTGTTGTACCTCATCCCCCACATGGTTGCCTTATTTGACATAAATTGCTGGGAAACCTCCAAAGTAGTGTTGTCGCCCCGATGAAAATCCTTAAACTAGGTCCCTTGTGATAGTTGTTTTTAGGGACGTAAAGTGATGATAACGGGAATGGGTAATCGGGTTATTGTTGTTTGATGAAATTAATAAATTTATTTATTGTGGGTTGAAAACCCTATATGCTCACTAGGCTCCCAAGCCTGACCCACTCAGTTTTCTTTGTATTACAGGTAGTGGCGCGAGAGCATAAGTTGAACGACTTATCAAGATATTTTGATTATAGGCGTGTAGTGTATATAACTGTTGTAAGGCTTATAATGTGCCGTTTATGATTTTGGTCTGTATCGGAACATGACATCCCGAGTTTTGTTATATATTAAAAATACATTTCTTTAAGAAATGCCTTGGTAAATCTTATTTTATCATATTTCGTTTTGGGAACAAATTCCGCAACTCTTTTAATCAAAAGATTACTCTGAAATTATTTTAAAAGCATAAATTAAACCGGTCTTTTCTGGCCGTGAAAATGGGGATGTCATACAGGTCCCTATTATTTTGCATATATACTTTGTATTATTATTAAGAAAAATAGGTAGGTCCTAGGACCTACCTTGAAGCAAAGTGGCTACGCCCTTGAATTTATATGATATATAGTGAAAATTATGTTTTTCCTCGTTATATGGCTCTTTTTGTCAAGTTGTTCATTTTGTGTAGTTAAGCAGGTTTTTAAGAATAATGTTATTGGATTTTATTTGGTCGGTTTAATTGGATTTTATTTTATTTGGTTCGGTTAATAAGGTTATTAAGAATTTTTAGATTAACAATAACCAAACTAAATAAGGTTTAGTTTAATCGGTCTTGTTCGAAATGCCCCTTCATTAGTAGGATAGATCCACTAATATGTCCTAGATTGATAAGGATGTAAGGTCTCAAGGTTCTAGATGTATGCTACTTCTTTTGTAATGGTCGATAACTTATATATTTATCAATATTTTGTTTAATGCTAAATTCATGTTGGTTGCGCTTCACATTGAAATTTCTTGGGAAAATGACAATGTAGTACAATCAACTTTGTGATACGTCTCAGTTTGGTCTTCAAACTTTTTTTGTGCAATTGGTCATTAATGTTAACTAATTGATGTCAGTTACAACACTTTTAGACATGTGAGGGTCGAGCCGATGTCTTAGATGAATAGACATTTAAATAAGTTAGACAAATATATTTTGAAGGCCATGTAAGTAATTCCATGTATCATTAAATGTGATATCCTCATGTTTTAAAGGTTGTCTATTCGTTTTCATTAACTAGGGTTTTGAAGTTATCTGGTGAAGAAACTCAAGAAGTAGCCTAGCATAAGCAATGTTGATCTCGAACCATGATTGACTTTTTCCTATAATGGAACTAAATTGTCAAGGGATATTTCTTTGACATCCATTCTCTTATAATCATGGTAGGGGTGTGCATCAAACCACATAAACCGCTCACACCGCATCACACCACATAATGCGGTTTTGAATGTTCGCGGTGCAGTTTGCAGTTTGTAATTTTTGTAAACCGCATTATGTGGTACGGTTTGTGGTTTATATTTATAAAATCGTGGTTCAAACTGCACCGCATTATATATACATAAATATTTATTTTATGTTCATAATTCATTACGTTCCTCTTGCAAGCTAATGAATTGAACTATCTCTATGAACCTTGAACACTTTACAACTAAGCTATGCATTAAACTCACAACTTAATTTATTCACTTTTTAAATTAAATATACAGAGTGTGATGAAAACGTTTTCTGTACGATTACAAAATAACTTTATATACTTATATGTACTTTTATTAGTTATTTTTACATAAATAATAATTAATTTTAAACTATCTAACATACTATTTTAGTAATTGTTTAAAAAGGAATAATTACACCGTAAGACTTATAAAGTGGGAAAACTCATACCGCATAATATTGAACAACTAATCAAATCGTACAAACCGCACCACATAATGCGGTTTAAAATTTCCGCGGTGCGGTTTGCGGGTTATAAAATTCTCAAATCGCATATGCGGTGCGGTTTGCGGTTTTTACTCAAAACCACATTGCACCACACCGCGTACACCCCTAAATCATGGTGTGAAATTTACTTTTAATGATCATGATTTTGTTGGTACGTGTATTACCAGGCTCGAAACGTTTCATGCAAGAAGACTTTAAGAAACATTATTATTATGAGCCAGGTAAATCCTTGTTGTTTAGGATTCAGCCTATTGCAAATGATGGGACTATGCATGTTTCGTTCTTTATGTTTAGGAAACAAATGGTGAAATATCTCTTTATGTGGACCATATTGGTGGCTGAATAGAGGATTAGTTTGATTCCGAGAAAGAAGATGATCGACTATGCTTCATGTATTGTTAGTGGGGAAAATAAAGAAGACATATGTAACCTTATAAATGTACGAGTGAAGTATAATGATGAAACGATCATTATAAACATAAAATCCCTAAGGCAATGCTCTACATTTACATTTGGTTTACTTATTTGACAATCATAGAAGCCCTAAGGCAATTCTGCATCTACATCTGGTTTACTTTTTCGACAATCATCGTCCCACCTTTTTTCTCATCACCAATCACCTTGTTCTTTTTATATATATATATATATATATATATATATATATATATATATATATATATATATATATATATAATAGATATATGTCGAGACTTGAAAAATAGATTTGACATTTCTACAGCTTTTGATAGCAACATATACTAAATAGGATATGTTACCACAAATTATTAAGGGTAACGATTTTGCCGTGTTCGGGATGGTGGGTCGTGAGTTAGAAAACTCAACCATAACAAGACCCATATAAATAATCATGTCGTATTGTTCAAACCTAACCCAGATAAGCCAACCCGGCACAAGACCGCCAAACCCGTTTAATTATACGGGTTCACGAGTACAAGTTCACAGCCTCACATGTCAAAATCATGTTCGTTGATCATAATCAGGGAAAATTCCAGAAAAAATAAACAAATTTACACATCCGAATTCCAAAAAAATAAACTGATACACACATCAAAATTCCATAAAACACACTGAAAAGTCTGAAATTTTTAATCAGAAATCATATTACATACCTCGTTTATTTAGTATTTTATGGCTTCAAACTCACATCATTAATTAGAGAGAAAGAATGAGACATATAACATGAAGTTGTATTCAAGATTTAGGACAAATGAAAATACGCCAAAGCTAAGAAAAGAACAGAAGAAATATAAGAAAAAATGTTTTATTAACCATGATATAATATCGGGTTGGCTGGTTGACCTGCAAACCCAAGTACTAACCCATCGAGTTATGGAGGTTGAAGGGTCAGAAAACTCGTTTATTTGTGTGTCGTGTCGAGAATTGTCACCCCAACAAATCATGATTCTAATTTGAGACAAGTTCTACCAGGTATTTATCACCTTAATTCTATTTGATCTATGAGATTTTGGATCATGATTCATTATCCTTTTTAACAAGAAGCTTTAGGTTCATGGGTACCAATAAAAATGATCTTTAGAATGTGAGAATTAATAGATTGAAGACGAATCATAAACAAGTTTCTCAAACGAGAAATGTGATGCACATCAAAGTAAGGAACTCCTTTTAAAGAAGAAACATATGAATTTTCCATAGAAATATAAAATACTGAAAATGAAAAGTTGTTTTCTAAAAGTTTTTTAGACACAAAATGAGAAGATTTAGCACGACTTTTTTAAATGAATTCAAATATGTTATAAAGACCACTTGTACTTGTTGGGTCCTAGAGACATTAACAATATTGTAGATCACACAACTAAATAAAAGCTTTATAATATTTTCAAACAAAAAGGTAAAATTTTCAAAGTATTTGTATAGGCTGATTAATTTGTATTTTAATGGAAATAGTTGTATTTATTGTCATGAATTTTTGGAAAAAAAAAAAATAGGCTGATTAATTTGTTGTTATAGATGAAAACTGAGAGAGACATTGATATTGTTAGGCCACAAAAAATAGGAAAATCATAAGAAATACAATTAATACGAAGAATATCTTTATCATTAGCCACCTGTTTGATGATATACCATTCAAGTACCTCATTAATTGCCCTTGTGCTCCTTCTACATTTGCTAGTGTATCCTCCATATTTTCATCAATCCTATCACATTATTCAATTTTCATTTATTAATAATACCAAAATGGAAACACATAATATGAAAGAGTAATTTGTTCAAATGTAAGCTATGTATTCTGTGTTTCTTTTGAGCTATCCCCATTAAGTTCTTAACCTTTTACGGATTTACTCTCATTTTGTAATTTTCCTTCATTTATTCAGACATTATTTAATGAAAAAAAAAGGTACCTAATTGCAAGCTCCCCTTGTTGAGAAACCATGTTTGCCAATTGTGTAAAAATGTTGCCCAATTCATGAATTGTTGACTCAACATTGTGAAGAGCCTCAGCTCTACTCTGCATGTAACTATTATCCTGTAATGGAACCATTTCTTGACTTTGACTTTGTTGCTGTTGTAACAATGGTTGAGATTCTCCATCTCCCTGTTTCCTGGAATGTTAAAACAGAATCAAGGGTATGTTATTTATCAAATTATTAAATCCAACTTTTGACTTGATATAGAAAGAATGACTTAATAGAAAAAGTCAGGAAAATGAGGCTTTTCTCATTATGTCTAAACTTTTTACAAATTCACCCTCATTTACTTTTTCTTTACATTTCCCAAGTCTGCAGTTATTTTCTAAAATATTTTTTTAAAAAAATCATTTACCTGGGGAATAGTGGAGATGAAGTTGAGAAGTTGGTAACCCAAGGAGGAGGGGTATTTGAGGAATTAGTTGTTGATTTGTTAGCCAATGGACGTTGGCGTGCAAATGGATTTACAGGCTCTTTTGTAGCACTTGCAGAAAATAACTGTCTTCTATTTTCATGAACCTTCAAATTCTGCACTCAAAAAGATCACAAACATGACAAATATAAGCCACATAAAGAAAGATTCTTAAAAAAAACATGGGTTGTTAGGCCACGTTTGTCACATGGGACAAGGGCATTTAAGTCTTTTGGGTGGGGAAAAAACGTTGCAAATTTTGTCCTATTAACAAATGGGACCTTAGATTCTTGGATGTGTAATGAAACAAAATTACACCTCTGTCCTCATTGTAAGAACTTCCTTGAATTCCTTTGTGGCACCCATGAGACGATTCTTGAGATTATCAACAACTGTAGTTGAATGTGTAGTTGTGTCACTTGAAATGCTTTGGCTTTCATTTTGTGAATTGCAAACTAATTGCAAATCCACCACAGCTGCATTCAGTGCAGTTATGTCCTGCTTGATCACACCTGTTAATTCTTGAATCTCCATTGTTGGATCATCGAAGACAGAGGTCCTTTTTGCCACTGGAAAAACAAAAGGATTTAGGGTTTTACATGTAAGAAATATCAATGTAGTTGTATTAATTTAGATTTTATCAAGTCTGATTAATTACTTGAAAATATTTATAAGGGGTGATCTAATTTGTTGATCTTACACAATCAATGATGCATGTAGAAACTCTATCTCCTTACATAACACAAATGCCAATACACATAGTATGGATTTGTGAGAGAGATAGGGTTTCCAGTTTCCAAAATCACTTTTCATTGCAAATTTAAAAGCAAATGCAACATCACAGATTCTGATCAAATAAGGAGCAACATTAAGGCATCTGGGAAGCTTAATCTATGAACATGTCAAGCACCAATAGTAAATGCAAACTTTCTCTGTTGATATTTTTAGACATTAATATTTCCTTAAGAGTTCTAATTCGTATAATGCATGTTCATACGAAGCTAAAGCACACGTGCATACAAATTTCCCAATATATTGATTAATAACTCACATTTTGCAAGTTTCGCTAGCTTCTGCGACGTCTGATGAATTCCATATCCAATTTTGGAAGCCCTTTTGTTGAATTCCGTCTGGATTGCAACCTTTGATCTCGGCCCCTCAGCTTTGGTAGAAACCCCAACACCCCCGTTATTCGCACTCTCCGACGCATTTAGAGATGGTAACGACTTTCTTAGCCTCTCAGCTATGCTAGAAAACTCCTGCGCCCGATCTCTATACGACGAACCTTGCGAGGATTTCACATTCATCGTATAATAATGTGTATTTATATTGGATCGAAGAAAAGGGGGAATTTGATCCTAAAAATCCTAAACTAGCTGAGTGATTTCAGGGGGCATGATGAAATCATAGAGTACTCGAAAATTCTATATCCAATCGAAATTAAAATAAAACTAATATTAGAATATGCATCTTTTGGATGTTTGACTATGCATTGAATCGAATCAAAACTCTAGATGATCTGAATTGTTCAGATCTTCAAGAGAGAACAATGAATTTATGTGAACGTAGATCTGTCGAGATGGAAACCGAGAAGAAACTGTGTGTATTTGAATGTTGAGATGGATCGGGCGATCATGCGTTACGGGTCTCCTTTTCGACCCGAAATAATTACCCAAAACCAGTGGTTCACAAACCGAATCGGTTTTGTGGCTATCCGAAATTATATCCTCAAATCCGTTTATAAGATATATCCGAATCAAGCGATATTTTATCAAGTCGGGTTTGGACAACAACCCCAGAAAACTGAAATCGGATTTTACTCCCGAACTTTTATCCGATTAAAATCCAGATTTGGAATATTACCGTTGGAAGCTAAAAACGATTTAAAAAGTCACAATAGCTTTCAACTATTGCATTATAATCCGGTAATGCAATTCCGGTTCCAATTTATATAGGCCATTCTCAATAAAATCTACTCGATGACAAAAATTTAAAGGAATAAGAGTTGCAGTATGACATGTTCCTTTTTTATATGATTAACCAAATGAAACACAAATTTAAAATATTTATTACGGGAGTTACCTCCGGATTTAGTTATGATATCACTTTAGAACTTACTATAAATGTTTGCGGCATACAAACTTTAGATAAACAAATCCCAACAACTTAGATTTAAGAAAAAAGAATATAATTTTACCCAAAATCAAGTTGTTATACTCAAAATCAAGTTGTTATTTCCAATGATATTTTTCAAAAGTTATTTCATATATATTCCATCAAATATGGTCAACAAAATAACAAATAATTGATATGTTCAACATAACAAATAATTGATCATATGTGGATGGAGACTTCAGGGGAGTCATCTAGTGGTTTCTGTGACCGGGATACAAATATTCTACTATATAATATTTTATTAAATGATGCTAGTAAATGACAATGAACTTTCATCTCAAATAGCGAATTGAGGAATTACATGACCTCAATCTTTTTGGTCTGCATGAGTGTTGAAGAATTAGTTTTTTTTTAGCTCGGTGGAATGATAAGGAACATCAATTTCTAATTCTAGCCACCATGACCCATGATTTAGTAATTGTCTAAGCTTATATGATACTTTTGGAATATGTTTTTTCTCTTAGTGGTAGGTCAATATCGAAATGAAGGTCAAGACTTACCACCACATTAATAGAAGTGTGTTTGCTTGAAGGATGAATGATTAATTGAATGATATGGAAATGATATAACTTTGTCTTTTGCTTGAATGCAACCTTCTAGAATCATGCGAGCAATACATGCATAAAGAAGAAGTTGCACTCGTTATTCCTCCAACGATTGAGATAGATAAGGATAAATCCGATCAATATGTCGATAAAAACTAGGTTGTTTATTTTTGGATTTTATATGAATAGGATAAGATATTATTAGAGCTGGCAAAAATCGACCAAACTCACCAACCCAACCCCAAAATTAGCAGGTTGGGTTGAGATTTTCAACCCATTTAGGTTAAATGGGTCAACCCGTCTAACCCATTTAATTAAATAGGTTGGGTTGGGTAAAAGTTATCAACCCATTTTCAACCCACCAACCCATTTAACTTTAATATATATTTAATTCAATAATTATTTAAATATTATCATATATTAATCTAAATATTAATTTATAAATTTAAATGTTGTATTCTTATTTATTTGTTTTTTAAAATGCATTCATAATTTTTATATTTTTTCTTTGCACCTATAACACTAGTCACTTTTCAAAATCACTTCGAAATTACATATCTTTAATCTTATTTGTACAATTTCTTTGTATTTATGAATTAAGCTTATGCTTTTATTATCCTTTGAAAGTTTAGTTAAGTTTGAAACTAATTTAAGTGGTGTAATCTTTAGTTATTTTATTTACTTTTTTATTTTAAATGGATTGACCCATTTATATAATAGGTTGAGTTGGGAATTACATAAACGGGTCAACCCGATGACAACTCATTTATCTGAAAGGTTGGATTGGGTTGGAAATATCCATCAATTTAAATAAAAATGTTAGGTTTGGTTGAAATATTCAACCCAATTAATAAATGGGTTGAACCCGAACCCAACCCAGGTCGACCCATTGTCAGCTCTACATATTATCGGACCTATGTACACCTCTATTCCAATAAAAGTTATATAAGTTATGACTCTTTATCAACCAACTAAAATTATTTAATATCATTGGAATATATAACTTATTTTGTTATGGTTCATCAATTTTTAATATTTTTTAACTACTTAGTTATCTATTGTTGTATCTTCCAAATTTTTGTTAACATTTTCGTTTTATTTACCTTATATATTATTTGATTTTATGTTATTTTTTGAATAATTAATCTAAATTTTTAAATACTAATATAAATATTTTAAGTCATTTATTTTTTATAACTATATAGTTTATAAAAATATTAGTAATCTCAAATATGGTGTTTGGTTACAAACAACAAATTAGATGAAATAGTTAACATGTTCCAAAAAGATGAGGATAATTAATGAAAAATCTATTTTCAGTCGAGAGGATTTATAAAGATATGATTTTATACAAGGGGTTAACTGCCTAGATGCTTAAATCTCAAAACTAATATTTTTTTCTAATTTGACTAAAATCTTATAAAAATAATTTTAGTTTAGATATTTTTTACTAACAATGCATAAATTCTGTAAACACATTTGGATTTTGTTCGGTTTAACATATGATTTTTCTATGAATTATAGAAACTTTGAATTGTTTCAAAAGAACAACTTTAACCAAGAAACAATTCTTCTTATGGTTATTTGCAATTATTGCCGGAAAACCTTTATGGTGTTTTTATTAAAAACAAACTTTTAGTAGTTAAATAAACAAACATTATTTCAATGGTTAAAAGATAAAGTATAATATGCACTGGATTTAGGTGATGTTTGTTTCGGAAGAGGTGAAATTTCTTATGTCTTTTTTTATGTCTATGGTGAAAAAAAGAAATATCACATTAAGATTAACTTAAAAAATGTATTCCAAACTTGTAAGTTGTTTTTTTTCTCTTCCAGAAAAAAGATATCAAAAAGTTTTTTTTTTAAGTTTTTTGTCTTCTGAAAATGTCTTCGGAAGCAATTTTGATTCTTTGTACTTTTCTAGCGTTACTATATTTTTTTTATTAAAATCTTCCAGCATAATGAATTTAACAAATCTTACATAAATTTACGATACAAAACTCCAGTAAAAATGCAAAGAGAAATTAAATATTTTTCTATTTTTTGTTTTAATTTTTCTTCCTACCTATTAAAAATGATGACAAATATACAAATTTAACATCCCAATCAAATTTAAATTAAATTAAATTAAATAATATTTGTCATAATTTAAAATAGATAGAAAGATAGTAGACATAAAAAATATGAAAATATTTAAATTTTCAAATGTAAAATACCGTCTTAATGCATTTAATTATTTATTATCCATCACTAATAATTGTTACCATATGGTCCATATCTACATGGTTGTAAATTTAACGCAAATCAGTACATATAAGCATTAACTGTAACCAAGTAACTATCTAGTTTGTATCATAAATTTACAATATAAATCATCAAAAGAAAAAATCTCAAAAGTATGTCCTACAACACATATATAATTTAAGTATTTAACTAAATCTAGATAATACTTTCCGTGCAATTATGGTATCATTAGCCATTATCAATGGTTTTGTTTTCTTTCTAATTTCTTTTAAGTTTTCAAAATAGCATTAGCCAGATAGAAAACAATACTTTTAAAAAAGTACACAATTGCTTATATAACTTTATTTGAAACTTTATTTGTTTTTTGTCCTCCATTCGCATGTATAATACCCTAAAAAAATGCCAAAAAAATATTTTCATCTTCTAACAAGAAATAAAACCAGTTAACAAAAATTTATAAATATCAATCACGAATTGCAAACTACCATTATATTAAATAATCAAATAACATCTAATAAAGTATTTTTTTTTTTTTCTGTCGTATTAGCCTGAAGATAAAAATGATGGATTACTCATTCGTATTCGTTTCAGTTATATTACAATCTAAAAATCTATGATCCAAAAATGAAAATGCTAAGAAACAAGAAGCAAGAACACAATGCAAGCTTCAAGTACACCCAACAAAACCTTGAAAATTTTCCGGTGAACCACCACCGAAGACCCAAAAGCAATCATCACCGGAAACCGACACTCCCCCACCGATGGATCCTCCCCAGTAACAATCGACAACCCAGAAAAGTCACAATCCCAATCATTCTGACCTTGAAGTTGATAGTACATATTAAAAGCATAAGAAGCATTTCCCGCTAAATTCAACCGATTGCACGAAGATCCATAACCTAAAGACGTACAATCCGATAAGCTACAAGCGTAGTCAATCTCTTTAGCCAATCCATCCAGTTCCTTCACACGTGGATTCAACACGCACCACCTCCGGCTCATGTATTGAACTCCGACAACCGGAGCTAACCCTTTGTTCTTCTTCGATCCCGTTAAATCCAGTTCGTATTTGGGTTTTCCATCGTATTCGAAAATCCCCCAATGTGTCTCAAATGATCCCGGAGCTATGCTTTTCTTGTTTTCATCTAACAAACTGAAGAGATAAATTTCGAGTGGTCCTTTTCGGACTGGTGTACCTTTTGAGCTTAACACATGTCTAATCACACCTTGGTTGAATCTTTTTGCATTTTTTGCGTTTGCGTTGATGTCGCCGTCGGTGGGCCACCCGATTTCTCCGACGATGATTTTCATCTCCGGGTATCCGGCTTTTGTTAAGGAAGCGACTAATGTGTCGTAGTTTGCATCGAAGACATTGGTGTAGAGATAATTTCCGTCTTTCAGGGGCTTATTTGAGCCATCGAAGAACGCAAAATCCATGGGGAAATAAGCGTTGCCATAGAGACTAAGGAAGGGGTAAATATTGACTGTGAAAGGGGCGTCGTTGGAATAAAGAAATTGGATGATTTCAATGGTTTTGTCTTTGATTTCTGAACGGAAGTCGCCGGCCGACGGGACTGGATTTGATTCCGGCGACTCGTAGATGTCGGCGTTCAATGGGACGGTGGCTTTGATTTGGTTACCGAAACCGGCCCGGGTAAGGGCATTTTGGACATTTTTTAACGCCGGTAATGTGATTTGGAGATATGTAGCATTGTATGCTTTGAGAAATGGCTCGTTTCCGACTGCAACATACCTGAAATTTACGAAAGAATCAACATGAAATTACGTATTTACCCTCGAATGTATGATCGGTGTTTGAAAAAACTAAACATTTACAGCAGCAAACAATCAGGAAGAACTAGAGCGCGAAAAAACGAACTATAATCATGAAATCGAAGGTGTTTCAATACGAAATTGGAATTATTTCAATAGGAGAAATCACAAAATTGTTGTTGCTTACTTGATATCGACACCACCAGGATAAGCATAACTAGTAATATTAGCATCAACCCAATAATCAGCATAGCTTGGATCTTGACTCATATCCAACAGCATGAAATTAGGGATCGCTACCATCACCTCAATCTCTGATCCAATTAGGGCTTCCATGATCCTTTTTTCTGGTTCAAAGAGCTTCACCTTCTTGAACCCATTCTCTCTCATCATTTCCACCACCTTATCCGCCGGCAACTGGTGGCTGGTCATGGTACCCCAGTTGATTCCCACGCCGATATTCGAATTGGGATCAGAACCAGTGACAATCGCCATGAATGCTGTCGAGATACAGAGCATGATTGTGATGATCGATTGGCATGGCTTTAACGGAATTCTGATCATTTCTTTGGGGGATTTCGGTGATGGATTGTTGATTTATTTGTTGATTCTTTTGGGTTTTGAGGAAATCGGAGGAAATTGGAGGAGATTGTGTGTGTGTTTGTGTGTGTGAAGGAGAGATGAAAATAGTAAAAGATTCGGTTCTTTTTTGAATCTGTTATTCAGTTATGTAGCAGGATCAGGATGCCATGCAATTTTGTGTGCAGTCACACTCCATAAGAGGATAATTGTCTTTTTCTCTTTATTTCAATATAAATGTAATAAACGTTATATCTATTTATTCACTTATTATTGTTAAACAGTTTTTTTTATTTTTATTTTTTTCAAAAATCAAAAACTTATTAAAGCAATAATCGTTTTTTTTTGTTGGAAAAAGTAATAATCAGTTTTTCGGGTTTGTTTGAATGAATATTTTGAAGACTCTAATGTTAAGATGTGAAAATACTGTTTGAAATTTTGAGAATAGAGAATTAGTTGATTGAAGGTTTATAAGCTCTAACTAGTAAATAATAATAATAATAATAATATATAATCCTCCCTAATAAATAAAGATCTTTTTGCCATATGTCTCATTTTCATTTATTTTGAAACACGTAATTTTTGTGGTTATTTTAAATTAATTTTTATTCCACATGTCATTTTATGGTTTTTTCATTTTATTAAATTGTAGATAGTATTTATATTCAATAATAAATACATATCAATTTCATTAATGAACTTTCTTTCTAATTTCAAAATTACCAAATTAAAGATTCATTAATTTTCTTTATTTATTTATCTAAATTATTTGTTTAAATTTAAAAGAGAAAAAAAATACTTTAATTATTATAATTCAATATTTTCTCACTTTTCTTATAAATTCATACTTTTCAAATGTTTAGAATTTTGTATTGTTTTTTTTTTTTAAATAAACTCATGTAATACATGGGTCTCACACCTGGTAATAATAATAAATCCAGTGGAAAAAGGTTATTTAGTTTAATCGAAATATTGTTCCTTTTATGATTTGTTGTTTGACCAACTGAACTAGAAATATGTTTGATTCTTTGGTTGGGTTTGATTTATGATTTTAATTCTAACTAGAAATGAGGCCCGTGCGTTGCACGGGTCAGATGTTTTTGTTGATGTTTGGTAGCTCACGAAAGTAGGATGCTATAGTGTCATTCAAATAGTTAGCAACTGGATAGATTGAATATAGTACAATGTCCTAATGTAACAAATGAAAGTAAACAAATAAATTAGTGTGCGTTGCTATTTTTTGCATTTAACGCTTTTGGCTGATAGTAAAAACATTTTTAGTCGAAATCACATTCCTCATAACTTGAATAAAGCCACCTGAAGAAAAGAAAACATATTTTCTATTATTATCGTATTGACATTTTTTTGGATGCAATTGTGCATACTAAAAAGATTACAATATCTACCCTTATCCATCAAGAATATGTTATTTAAAAAAACAAAACAAAACAAAACTTTTGGGACCATTTTCCCTAATTGCCATTTTTTTAAATTAAAGCTAAGTGAAACGTGTTTGTTGACCACAAATAGAATCTAACTGAAGGTATTGAATATTAGAAACTTTGATGGTATTCTCAACTTGAACCCCACGTGGCAGAAATAACTGCAGCAAAAACAAATTTTTTTTAGGGAAAATTAAGTACATTGTAGCAAAATTTAGACTACATTGTTGTTTTTGTACAGACATGTAAGTACGTTAATGTTTCAGATAGATAATAAATGAATGTACAAATCCATTATAAACAAAGCAATAAAAGTACATTGTTATTTAAAAGCTGATAACTATCCATACCTCAAGTGCACGGAGCATCACTTCAACCGGTGGAGATAATGTCGGAACAAAAACCGATGGATGTTTGTGATGGATGAAGCTCTTTCCTTCTTCTTTACCCGAAGTAAATGTTTTTGTGCTTGTTTTTTTAGCTTCAGTGACTTTCTCAAGCTGTAAGAATTAACATTCCAAATGGGATCTTAATATTTCCGTTTATTCCAAAGATAAGACCATTTTACCCTTGTCTACATTAAGAAATAAAACATACTCCCCCCTCCCAAAATTATAGTCCATCTTTCCTTTTTGGTTTGTCCCAAAATAATAGTCCACTTCTAAAAATAAATAACATTTTTACCAAAATACCCCATCATTATTACTTAACCAACTAAGCATTTAATGGAACATTAAATACAAAGTAAGGACAAAACTGTCATTTTATTAAATAAAGTTAGTGGTAATTAATGCTTTTCTTAATATGTGTGTTTTTTGTCTGTGGACAATAATATTGGGACGAAGGGAGTAGTTACTAAACATAGCTAATTCGTAAACAAAAACCTACCAATCCTCATATCCTAAATCCTAAATCAAACAGCAGGAATCAAGAATTATGTTGCATGATGAGTAGTGGCAAGATATAAAATCTCATCAACGTCATAACCCAACCCGGGTGAAGTAACCAACCTAGGAACACTACCCTGGTCAGAATTTAGGAATGTAAGTAGAAGGGGTGGAATAGACATATCGGGTGCAACTTTACTGTTCCTAAGCTTCACTTCATAAAATGCAATTTTAATACAAAAAAATAAAAATAAAAGACTCGAAGAAAGTAAAATGTGCGATGAGTTTTAGGATCTGTTGGTGTATTTTGATCGGGTCTGCACCAATTTTCTGCAAAAAAAAGACATTAATATAATCATATTAGTTTAGTAAAGCAATTTTACCATTTGACGATGAGGCCTGAGGGCATTTTCGTCCTTTTGCACAGATGGGAGATCGAAAGAATAGTCCTTGTCCCACTTTAAAAAAAAGTGCTACATGTATTTCCTTTCATAATACAATGTTTTTAGTTAAAATCTTTAAACTCTTGCAAGTCATTAAAATCAATTTTAAGTTTTTAACATTTTCTTTCATATAAAAGTATGATCCTAGATAATTTTTTTTTAAAGATTACCTATAAGTCAATACTTCCTAAAAAATTAGTAGATGTGACAGCATCCGAACCACACCTACTAAGATTAATATATGAGTGCATGAGAACAATTAAAAATAAATAAATAAATAATGCATCACGAATGCTGCGTTTAGTCTCCTCTATCATCATCTTGTTACCTAATTTATCACAAAATTATGATTATCTATCCAACAACATTTAATCAGGAAAAAAATGATAAAGCTTTGAAGGTTAAACATAACCAGGGGAGTAAAATGGAACATTCTTGAATAAAGCGGGTCAATTGTACAAAATACAAAACTCACAAGACCATTTAGTATAATGAAAGTGGTTGATATAATTGACCTAAAAAGCTATCCTTTCCATTGGTAAAAAGCTTTTTGTGTGGGAGATTCTTAATAACTGACCTCATGCAGTTAGTCCAAAATAGAAAGTCTTTATTTATACAACACTTAAAAAAGAAAAAGATACAAGTCCTAAAAAAATGTTAACTTACCCCTACGAAAAAATTAGCACAATGCTCAATATATAACATCAGATCTTTTGTGGTGCCAAATGATTTCTCTCTAACAAAACCAGCCTGCCCATAAATTTAATAAAAAATTTAAAAAGTCATTTATTATGTATTTTTCAGGATTACAACCAATGAAAATAGTAAATGAGAAATTATACCTTGCCTAGCTTTTTTGCTGTTAATTCCTGAAACCTAGGGACAATTCTTCCACCTGTTGAAAATAAAGAATAAACACCAAAATCATATCAAAAGGGTAAAATAGACAATAATCAGTTGTTATGCGATAATTAGTAGACACAAACCAGTGGCTATTGCTAGAAGCTCTAATTCAACACCACCAACCCATCTCACAGCACGCAACTTTCTGTGCATTAATAAGTGATTTGCTTCATCATTAAAAGGAGAATGTGATGTGATTAATTAGTAACCAAGCTGGAACATAAAAGAAGATACCTGGATGTGAAATTAAATTTTGGACAGACAATCTCTTAATTTTAATATGAGACGTGCACAATAAAGTGCACAACCGATGACATACCACTTCAAACTGAACGCACACTTTAAGTTTTGTTTGTTCATTGAGACATTTAACCAAACACTTAGTATTCATAGTAAAAAAAACTCATCTATATGTTAAACAAACAAATAGGGTAACACGTACGTGAGTTTTGAAGAACAGATATTGTTTGCTAACCGAATCAGCCAAGCCATCTTCAGAATCACATAAAGACCAAAGTTAAAATGGCCCAAGTTAAAATTCTAAATTTTATATAATCCATATAAAATTTACAATTTGAAGTACCTAAATTCAAATTGGTGAAATATCAGTTCAAATTTTAACCTGTGTCACTTGTTTTCCTGCTGAACCAACACTGGAAACAACCATTAGTAATTGAACACTTCATTAATAGGGATAGAAAAATACCTTTACATGTTGTTGAAGAAGATGCGATGGTGCCCGCGGTTGGATTCCGCTTCTCATACGCCAGAGTATGTGAGAAACGATAAATCAAGGGTCAGATAAGATAAAAAATTCCCCAATTTGATCTATCATTCAAAAAAAATCGAAAACTTCAAAATCAAAATTGCATCTTCCATAATCGACCTATAGAGCGAAAGTTAGGGCATGAGAAAAACCGGAAAACGCAAGATGTGAGAAGAGTTGGTGGAGTAAGTGAATAAAAGGGAAAAAACCGACGATACATGATGAAATAAGAAACGTAAATTGAGTGTGAAAACCTCGTGGGCTTTGCCTCAGTGAGGGGCTGCGTACCTTTCGATTGGAAAAAAAACCCTACGTGACTTGGGTCTGGATTTTGAAATCGAAGCAATCTGAGGGGTATGACAGACGGAGAAAAGGGAAACAATCGGAGGCGATAGACAGAGAACCCCCACGTCCACTCCCTCTTTGCCAGACCACCTTCGTCTTCCTGGTCATCGTCGTACCCCTTTGGAAGGCAGGTGGTGGATAATAGAACGAATGAGAAAGCGGTGGGAAGGGATTTTTGTAACAATATGATCGGTTAAAAAGTGAGGTGGGAGCAGTGAATAACACGTAGAGGGTTTTGGAGAGGCGGTGGGAAGCATCCAGAGGGGAAGACAAAGCGGCGATGAGAAAGGAAGAAGGAAAGAATTATATTAGATGGGATAAGCGGTGCTAGAAGCTT